ACATGCATCGATTTCGACTGGTTTTTACCAATTCGCAATTTTCTGAACCATATCTCGATCAGATTAAGCTCTTCTTCAAGATGTTAAGATGCAATTATTGGGTTTTCGTCTGATGTCATGATAGCTATGTGCTATCTGCAAATGTTGCCATGTTTGTTTTCTCTGTTGGTATATCTGCAGTGTATAGGAGATATAAAATTGGGCCTAAGACATTACCTTGTGGAACGCCCGATTTGATGGGACTAAGTTTCATCCAATTTTACTATATTAATTATGTATATTAAGTATATTTGTTGGCGGTAAATTAAATCTACATGATAATATTTTTAATATATATTTTCTCAATTTTAAATAATGGAAATATACTATAATTAAACTTTTTCTTTCATGATTTATACACATTTTATAAAAAGGTTAATGAAATGGATAGAATTCAATTAATACAGGTTTACAATACAATAAATTATGTTATAAATGTAAATGTAGTTTGAAGATGTATGATCATGTTTACCAATCTCCGTATTTTTAACAACTTTCACATTTTGATATTCTTTTAGTTTCTTCTCCTAGTGTCAACGATTATTCTAGCATTTCTCAATAAGTTTTTCCAAATACTGTACATGTTTTCGGATATTTACAGACTTCCATACATCAAAGCTTTCTTATCAATAGTAAAGTTAATCGAGGTACATATATTTGATAAAATATTTCATTAATTTGTATTATTATGTTTATTAATTCCTGTAAAAATCCAAATAAAAAAGAGTTTAATTAAAACAAATTGCAAAAATATATTAGTCCATAGCCTATTGGATAAAAATACCAATACATGTTGTAATTATTATTGAAATAAGTGAAGATATTTGAATTACATATAGCAGCTAATAATATGAAAATAAAGTGTTTGATATTAAAATGTTTTTATATATTTTTTTTTTTATTTCAAAATTTAAATTTTATATAAAAACTATAACAGCTTCTTACTGTTTTTTTTTCTTCTCAGATTAAGGTCATTTTTTGTCGATCTTCCGTGGATTGACTTTTATAAATAATTTATTTCAAATTTGACGACAAATACGACGGAAGTAAACGACTAATGGCGGTAGACATTTGTTTTTTTTTGGTAATCTTCCAAATGGACGTTTTTACCATTATATTCTTCTCTAATTTGTTGGTTAGCTGCCGACTTAGATAAATAATTTACTATACAATAATATATTTTGGAATTTCTTAAAGATCCGAACTAATCAAATCATTTGATATTTATACGTGGTTACGTTATATGAAAATATAACAAATATAGTATGAGAGATGCTGTAAAACTTAATGAAACTCATAAAACTAACTGAAACACAGTAAAAATAAATGTTGTTGAAGGATTCATGTAAAATTTATTACTATAAATAATAGAGACTTTGTCAACGTGTATTTAATTACTAGAATAAACTAATTACGTAAACATCGTAGTTCTAAGTAAATGAAATAATAAAAAAAAGAAACATTAATGTATAACTTTATACAAATAATTTCGTCGAACTTATTTTATGTGGAACAGTCACAACTAATAAGTATAATTTGCATAACAACAATAAACGGTTGCATAAAAAAAATTGTACGACAATTACTCGGAAGGCAGGTAAGAATGAAAAGGACCAAGGACTTTACAATTAATGTAATTGCATTTTATCCGCACCGTAACGTCGCACAAGGAATAATGCCTCCGAAGACTAAAATATAATGCATTTCTATATGAATCTGTTACTGGACAACGAATGAACTGATCTGCATTCTGCATTTAACACCGCACCAGACATGTATATCTGCATGTAAATAAATACCTATTGAAAATTTCCATACGTTAATCAATCTTGATCTTTCGATCCTATCGCCGCGCATAAATTATTTCAAATCGATTGCGCAACAGACGTTCTTGTCCACGAATTGTGTTGCAAAATGAAAATGGGAAGCGTTGCGTAACCTTTCGGAAACGTGTATTTGACTGTTTCGTAAGATCAAATACAGTAGACATATAGTTAAGTCTATTGGAAATAGATAGATACAAATGTAGGCAACCAAAAGCGCTTAATTTGAATTCATGTAAATAATGGATTCTATTTTGCTCGAATTACAATTAAAACTTGATGAGTTTCATACCAAAACGCTGCAAGTTTACATGGAAATGAATGGGTAAATACCTTTGCAAATGAAATAAATTAGTTCTGGAACTTCTTAAAGGTAGCCTTGAATACGTAATTAACCATTTGATTAACGGACATTAGAATGTAGCAGTTGATATTGTTTTTCGTGGAAACATTTAAATAAATACACCATTATTATATAATATTGATTTTCCTTAATCCTTTTATTATTTATAGATTATTTGGTGATTTTTCAAATCAACATATCATCATAAAAGTCGATAACCTTAGCCGACTTTTTTGTACCACAATAAATTATGCTAAAGATTTTTTTTTACTAACAACAAATTAAATATTAAATTGAATCTTTTACTATCAAATTATACCTTATAGTCCGAGTTCTGCCAATATACTCTATAATTTGAAATCGAATTAATTGAAGAACCAAATAGATATAAAAATAAAGAAAAAATCCGATTTTTTATCATATTTTCTTCGAATTTATTTCGTTCAATTAAAATTTAGTTTGTTTTGAAATTTTAAAACCGGACTATAGTGAATCCAGACTGATTTAAGCCGGACTATGCGAGTTATTTCTGTATCTTGTTTCAATAATGTTAATTGCATTTTATTCTTATATATTGTTATATAATATAGTGAATACGGACTGATCGAAGCCGCACTATGCGAGGGGTTTTTGAAACTTGTTTCAATAATGTTAAATGTTTTTTATTATTATATAAGATAGTTATATAAGATAGAAAATGCGAACTGATCGAAGCGGGACTATGCGAGTTGTTTTTGTATCTTGTTTCTATAACATTAATTGTATTTTATTGTTATATAATATAATTAAAACGGACTAATCAAAGTCGGACTATGCGAGGTGTTTTTGAATCTTGTTTCAATAATGTTAATTGTTTTTTTTTATAGTAATATAATAAAGTCAATCCACACTGATCAAAGTCGCACTATGCGAGGAATTTCTGTATCTTGTTTCAATAGTGTTAAGTGTATTTGATAGTAATATAATATAATCAACCCGGACTGATCGAAGCCGGACTATGCGAGGTGTTTCTGTATCTTGTTTGAAAAATGTAAAACATATTTTATAGTTATATAATATAGTTTGTCCGCACTGATCAAAGCCGCACTATACGATGTGTTTCTGTATCTTATTTCAATAATGTTGAATGTAGTTTATAGTTATATAATATAATGAGTCCGGACTGATCAAAGCCAGACTATGCAAGATATTTCTGTACCTTGTTTCAATAATGTTGAATGTATTTTATAGTTATATAATATAATCAATAACAGGAGTAGATTGGCAAAGTCTTATGTACGCAATGGAATGGAAATATCTTGTCGACGGAATTGCTTCTATATTTGTTTATTTCCTATGCATATTTGCGGTATTTAATTACCATACATAATCACTTGCATTTCACTTGACAATGAAAATGGCCGACCGCGCGTGTCCTTGAAATGGGAAATTTTTATCGAATCATTATTTAATTCAATACGCGATCATACCTAGATCGAATTAAAGGTTACTCGATCTCGAAAACATATACACACTGGAATAAATCCATTTGATATACAAATTAATTCACTTCGAAACAGAACTAGCAAACTGAAGCAATTCATTTGATTGGGATTCAGTAAAGGAGATGAGCCTCGACCTTGTTCATTTGTTTTATATGTTTATTGCAATATAATTAAAAGTCAAGTACACAGCATTTTAAGGTCGCTCTCAATTCAATACGTAAATTAATTATTTTAATTTATTTTTTAAATAAAAAGTTGTTTTTCTTAAGAAGTTCATTTGTTTTGCTACAACTTGAATTTCATTATTTTTTTAATTAATTTTGTGGACAACACAACATTTTATATGGACAACACTGCCATCTTTTACATATATGCATAAACCGTCATACTTTCACGAGATTGAACTTTATTTTTCCCATGAAAACAATCGTACGTAATTAGATGTATCTATATATATTTTTTTATAAGTTTCTCATCTGCAAATGAAGAAACATCATGAGGATTGATTAAATCAAAATGTGAGTATCAATAATTTATCAAAGTTTTAAACCAAGTATTCTGTTGATGTATATTGATTATTTTTTCGTTGCGTAATTTGATATGTATTTGTGTGAAAAGTTATTAATGTGGATATATCAATAGTGCATGAGACACCAAACCTAACGTTCAACTATAGATCATAGTTCTAACACCGCTGTTACGTTGGTTATCTAATCAATCTTTAGCTATTTCAATTGTTATGTAAAGATTGTGATTTACGTTTGTAAACATCATTAGTGGCCTTAAATACTAAAGTAAATAAGTTAGTAAGTATGTCAATAGTTAAGAAAAGCATACTTACCAAAAAGTAAAACAAATTCATTAGATAATAATTCAAAGAATAAGGAAAAAATTATTTCCAACTAAATTATTAAATATTGCTGTAAATGTAAAATAAATTATAACTAATTATTTATTAAAAATCAAGTATTTAATAAATTAAGTTTAGTAGTTTGAGCTCAAATACTAAGAAGTGAATTTAAAACTAATATGTGAGAATAATAGTGTTATACAATAAATACAATAAATTATCTTACATTATTATATTGAGGCGCCATAATTACCAAATAAATTAACTAGGCAAATATTGTGTAGTGTATAAGTTATATTTAACAAGTACTTGCGTTTCTAATAGAATTTGGAAAATGTTTGAACAAGTCTTCACTAAATTAACGAAAAAAGAGATATTTCATCCTCCAAAACCGCAATATTTTTTCTCTTTCTACTCTCACCTCAAAGTGATGTCCATGGATTTCAAGGGTTTTTCACTTTCAATAGTTTGCTGGCATCGGTGTCTCTTTGAACATTTCGATATCTTTTCTTGACCTGTGCAAATCGTTTCAACGGTATTCAAAATTGTGCTTAGACTAATTTCAATTGCAGCTTACAGATGTATTACAACCTGTGTAACGAATAGAGTTTCTAAGTATGTATTTAATATAATTATAAAACTTAAATTATTAAATAATAGCTTATTTACTAATAAAATTTGTAATAAATATAATAATATAGTTTCATATTATAATTGTTAACTATTGTATGATGACTTTAAACGATAGGTTAGAACACTAACCCAATCTTATAGAGTTAGTATAATTGGTTGCATATAGTAATATTATATTTTTTGAATGCAATATAAACGTTATTAAATGAGTAATAGTCGCCTGTATTACATAAAAAAAACAACTAAAAAATAACTTAACTTATTATGTTTTCTTTATAAATATTGGGTGGTAATTTCGGTTTTTTAGTGTGAAATATTTTTTTTTATTTGTATACAAAGAATAAACTTTAATCAATTATATTGTTAGCCATGTTTCGGGTAACTTCATAATTTCGTGCTGATAGAAATGTTGGTCCTTATCAGTAAAAAAAACTAAACCAATTTCAATTTCAGGACATCACAATTAGTGAAAGTTTTAACATTGAAAAGGTTTTGCAAATTTTGAAATAAATAATAATTTGATTAATTATCTCTTCAATTAATTATAATAACGATATTTTTAAATGCATTTAAATGCAGACATTTAAGTAATTTTCAGTTCTTGTTTGTGATACATTTCATACAATATTTCTGCAATCTCTTGCACAGTTATATGATCCTCCAGAACGGATTTTTCAACATTAAATAACTTTGTGACTCTCAGCAGTAAAATAGCGTCTTCAGAAATAATAAAAGTAAAATATTTTTTCACTCCTGTTAAAATTGATCCTAAACTAACAGATTAAGCCAAAACAATGAGGTTTTAAAAGAAGCTAAAAGTGATATCTTTCAAATGGCAAAAGGAAAAAATCTACAAAGATAAATAAATAAAGTAGATGATATGAACATAAAATATAATGAATGAATAATTTCTAATTTCAAAAATAATTGTTTTTTTTTGAGGTATAATTAATAATCCAACTAACAAATAAATTGAAAATGTCTATCAAGTAAAAAGTACAAGTTTTTATGCATATTTGTCGGATCGCAGTAAATGTACAGTGAAACCTCGCTTAACGAGCACCTTGCAAAACGATCATTTCGCTTAATAAATTGTAAGAAAAATGTTTGCGCGCCTGCTACATCATTTTTAAAACTTGTGTACACATATTATGTGTATTTTTGAATATGTTTCACTATAAGAGTATTTCACTATACAAGTAAAAATCCGAAATTTTTGGAACAGATTAAACTCGTTAAGAGAGCTTCCACTGTACTTTCTTCTGTTAGTTCTAAAAATTTAGGAATTTCTGGTCCCTCAAAGAGTTAAAGCATCAGAAATACATCTATTACATAATCAAAAAGTCAAAATAAATCATTAATGTTGAATTAAGTAAATATTTAATGTAAACTTTGTTATATTTGACTAACATTGTTATATAATAATTATTAATTCATATTTAATTTAATATAAATAATTAATAGTTTATTGGAATTACTTTGTTAATAAATAATTGGGTTATAACAATATATGTTGAATTGAATGTGCACGTTAATTAATATCATTCATGAATGTAATTTAAGAAAATGATTTTTCATTGACGGTTCTAATAAATTGTACTTTGAAACATACATCGAGTAAGTATCTATAAATAAGAAAAACGTAAATGTATATGGAAAACAAACAAATAAATTATAAAGGTTTAATTTTAGCTGCAAAGTTATGTTATTCATGTTCATTACTTCATTTATTTAATAAATACTCATTTTTTATATTAAATATCACAATTAATATGAGAATGTGTATTAAAATTATTTTTTTTTATTATAAAAATACGTTTATAAATGTATACTCACTATGCGATAAGCGGAGATAATAAGAGAGAAATCAGTTAGTTGATGATCGATTCGCAACGTACTATACAAAAAATTGCTTTCGCAGAACCGAAGACATTATAATAATAGGTTTTCGGGAAAAAACAAATACAATTTTCTTCATGCGACAGGTTAATTTTGAAAATTACATAAAACTACTTCCTTCGAATTACCCGATCAAGTATATAAGGAAGATTTTGGAAATATTCATACATTGTATTCAATAAATAATAACATATCATTCTGGTAAGTCTAATTTAGAATTAAGTATTAGTTTGTAAAAATTGGAAGAATTGATTTTAATGTTGTTTTTTTTTTCCAGAAAATGCAGCCGGGATTTTTGTTCAGATTCTGTGTTTTTGCTCTTGCCGTTTGGTTTGCGCACGCTGCTGTCACTGAGAAGAAGAAATACACTACGAAGTATGACAATATAGACATCGAGGACGTCATCAAGAATGACAGATTGCTGAAGAACTACGTGGATTGTTTGCTGGAGAAGGGAATTTGCACTCCCGATGGATTGGAATTGAAAAGTATTTAATGATGGCTCGCAAATAATATTTTGTTATATAATTGTTTGTTTTGTTTTATATAAGAAAACATGCCGGATGCGATTGAAACGGATTGCAGTAAATGCAGCGAAAAGCAGAAAGACGGTTCCGACAAGATGATTCGTTTCTTGATCGATAATAAACCAGAATTGTGGGCACCGTTGCAGGAGAAGTATGATCCAACGGGAAGCTACAAGAAACGTTATTTGGCGAACAAAAGTGACGTCAATATCGAACCAGTCCATGTTTAAAAAAAATATTCATCTAACTAGAAATGTAGCAAAAGATTATAGCAATTATTTTGCACTATTTAGCAACTTCTTTGAAAACTGGTTAGTGAATGTTATAATTTTATAGATAATATATCTAATAATGCAAACTGCATGCAATGCTTCCTGTTCGACTAAATTACGTGCAATTATAATAAAAAAATGAACCATTAAATATAATTATTATCTTTCAATTTTTCACTCTTACTTGATTCGCAGAAGTAGTGTTTCTTCGAAGTTATGATTCTTCTAGAAATTGGAGATGATATTGCCGTGTCCCGGGATTAAGAAATCTCTTAGGATTATCTCGTAGTTATGTCCAGTTATTAAATTCAATATTCCTAATTAATTTTATTGTACATATCAGTGTTTTTATTGAGAAGTCAACTATACAACTGTTGATCTCATGGATTATTAACTAAGAGTTACATTCTCCTCTCAAGTTAATAATTAAGAAGTAAGTGTTCTTTCTTGGACTCTCCAAGTAAGACCGTGTTCTCACTTCGATCCTCCGACTAAGACTATCTTCTTCATTGGACCCTTCAACTAAGACGATCCTCTGCGTTAGACCCTCTAAATAAGACTAAATTATATTTTTTTTTGTTGATGTCATGTAATTTTATTTAGAATCTGTTCATCAATATGAACATTGAGTAAATTTAAGATGACATTAGGTAGGTAATCTCTAAATTATATAATACAAAAATGTATCCGTGGGCGGTTAGAAAATCAGTTTTGACCTTGTGGAAAATACAACCGTTTCGTTATCTAAGTTTTATAACAATAGGGTAATAGTGTAGGTAAAATACACACAACTATACGATTTAATGTGTAACCATTCTTTGGAATACAAGTTATTTTAAATAATCACGAACAAGTAATATACAAATTTGATGGATAAATGAAATATGATTTGTAATCAAATCACTAAGATGAAAGTGATAGACCTAACAAATATACATATTTATTATATAATAGATGATAATAAAATGATCGGCCACGACAATATATTGGGTTTGCAAAAAAAAATGGTTTTCACGAATAATTATGATTTTTTCCTTTTGTCATTTGAAAGAGGTCACTTTTAGCCTCCTTTAGAAGTCAATCTCGCGTAATTCTCTTAGTTTGTGGTCAATTTTAACAGGAGTTCAATAATAAACATTTTAGACATAGTTTACTTTTTTTATTTCGGTAAAGCCAAGAAAGCTGCTGAGGTTCACAAAGAAATATGTGAAGTTTATGATGTTGATAGTTTAACAGAATTCACGTGTTTCTGAAGTTTATGATGTCCAAATCAAAGTCATAATTGAATCGGTTCATAGATTACACAAAGGTTAAACAAAACAAACACAACAAAAGATTATTTACAATATCACAAACCACATCGAAAGCAGAATAGCATCAAAAAAATCATGCGGGATGAGATTACAAATGTGATGTGTAATTTTGGCTGCATCCAAAGAACCAAACGATTAATTTAAATTTTTACTGTGCACACCTATTGAAACTAGATGAAGCAATAGAAGCAAAATAGCCAAAATTGGCTAATCGCATTCCACCAATACAATGCAAATCCTCACGCATCTTTGGTAACTCGTAGGAAATTATTGGTGCTTGATAGGGAAGTCGGGATAGACTTCATTATCCGATTCTATTAATCACGAAATTATCAGTATTAGTAGTTTTCGCCAATATCCCGGAGTTTTTGAAAACGGACTAATTGAGGAAAAAATAATCCTCACAAAAAGATACTTCATAAAGTGTACTATTTTTTTTTAATTTTGTTTTATTTTGTTGAATTAAAATGTAGTTTACAAAAATTTTCAAACTGGACCGTAATAAATTTGGTCCTGCTATAAATGCTATTAATAAAGTTACTACTTTTACAAACATATAGATTTTTTTGTCATATTCTTTCTATCGACATTTATGTTGCATCTTTTAGTTAATAAAACTATTGTCTATTCTCATTAAAGCACGTATTTTTAATGATCAAAGTTCGTCAATACTAGATTATATTATTGTATAATATATAAATCGGTGGCAATCGCAAGCCCGACAACCGAAATACCGTCAATCAGATTCCCGACGTTCTAAATGCCGACTGTATCGAAATCCCGACGTTAGAAATCTCGACAACCATAAACCCGACTATATCAAAATCCCGACTATATTAAAATCACGACAACCATCATCAATATTAAAATCCCGATTGTATCAAAACCCTGACAATATCGAAAATTTTTACAATAACATTTTTAAATTATTTCGGGATATAAATATACGTCCTTCTATTTATCAATAGTTATTTGTATTTTTCTTGCTCGTAATATAAATTTACTCAGAAAATAACACGTAGATTTCTGCTTAAAAGCAAAGTATTTTGTTTTGTAATAGTTAGTTGCACGTTGTTAGTTCCATCAATTTATAAAACAACAATATAAATAAAAGTTATGAACTACTTTATTTTTCTTCTTTAACAGTAAAGCGCACTTCAGTTAAATTAAAGTCAAGTTCATTATAAAAAGTTGAAAACAATATATTTACAATTTCATCAATTTTAAAATTTACATATTGAAAGAAATAGTTTTGAAATATTTCAATTTTTCATTTGTTATTTTATTGATAAAACTGAAGCACATTTTGAAAATGCAAATTAAATTTAAGTTTACTTTATATAATTTTAAATTTAACCATAGATATGAAAATTGCCTGCAGTTTTTATTTACGTTAGTTTATTAGTAAAATTAAATCAAAATTTAAAGAAAATGTAAATTAAATTAAACTCAAATGTTTTAAATTCGCAAAGTTATTAATAACAAACTGAGTCTGAACAAATATATAATAAGTAATCGAGTAAATTAGTGCAATTACAATTTAAAAAAAAATATTATTAAAAATAACATATATTTTTTTCCTAATTATATGTATGTGTATAATTAAATGATTAAATCTACATATAAATAAATAAATTATATTTATATTTTAACTACTTTTTTTTTATTATTTATATACAATTTTTACACTATGTTTTATACATTTTTATTATTATTAAAACTAATTATGTTAATTGCATTTTGTTCCATTCTTATATTTCTTCTAGCTCTCGTATTATGATCGTGTGTGTCGCAGTCGAAAGACAGGCCTATCCGGGTCTTAATATGGTTTTTACTATTTTGTGTATCAGAATGTTTGTCTGTGCCTCTATCAGTGTCCCCACATCCGGTATCTGCGTGTCACGGCTATTTGAAAACATATTTTTTTTAACTTTGCTTGTTGTTTTGCTAATGCTTTTAAGTTTTCTTTTGTTGTTGTTTCCCCACACCGCCACACCGTAACACATCCACGAGGTAAACTTACTTTCAATATTTAAAATACTATAAATAACAAAAGTTTTAATTAAATTCTATAAACTTCAACATTTTGTCTCTAATTTTTGCAATAAAAAAAATAATAATTTTATGGTTGATACAATAATTGATATTATTATTATATGTAAAGTTATTAAATTATCTGTTAAAAACAATTAAACTATAATAATTTTGGTAATTACATTTACAATCATTTATACTTTTCATTATTTTAATATAAAAACTTTATTTTATGACTATAAATAATAAACTAGTAAATATTTTTACATATAACTACCATTACGCAGAAAAACATTTTTATAGATGCTAAAGTATAAGAAAATGAAACTTTGATCTTAAAATGGTATGATTCCATGCGATTTCGTCCACCTTGAAAGTATATAAATGATAGTTGGATTGCATTAAGCAAATAGTACTCGTTTTATACGCACTGGGTTACTAACATATATACATAACAATGTTCAAATTATCATTGGAACTTGTTTGTGTCCTGGCTGCATTCATATTAATAAATGACAATCCTAAATCTATATCGGCCAAATCTATTATTGATAAACGAGAGGTTACAGAATATCCAACAAAATACGATGATATTGATGTTGATAAAATTGTATCCAGTAAAAGGTTAATGCAGAACTATGCCAATTGTCTCCTGGACAAATCATCTTGTACTCCTGAAGGGACAACCTTGAAAAGTAAGTATTTTAATAATGTTAAAATAATTCCATTTTCACACTTATCAAATTGAATTACTAATTAATTTAAGTTTAAAATACAGTAATATCAATTTAAAAGATCGATATAGTAACATCATTTTTGTATGTCAGTGAGTGATCGGTTAACACAGTGATTCTCAAACTTTTTGGTCCGCGACCCCCTTTTGAGTATAAGAAGTTTTTGCGACTCCCCCAAATATTTTACGCGACCCACATTTTGAGAATCACTGGATTAACAAACAGTTCAGAGTGCAAACAAATCAGAGAACTTTTGTGAAATAATTTCATATTCGAACAACAAACACATATTCGGATAACGAACTGTTTATCGGCAGACTGAAGTTTCTTTTGGGAGTTAACACTGGAGATGTTATGAAGTCGTTTCTTAAATAGATGATTACTTAACAAACAATTCTATCAACAAAATAGAATATGATCATTAATAAATTTATAAAGTAAACTAATATATTTTATTCCAGTGTATCTTCCGGATGCAATTGCAACAAGATGCTCCAAATGCTCAGAGAAGCAAAAGAAAATTGTAGGAACAGTTCTATCACATTTAGGACAATTCCACACCGAACTGTTTAATGAATTATTGGATAAATACGACCCTGATGGTGTTATTAAGGCGCAATACGATGGAAGTGACTTGGATGATGAAGATGAGGAAAATTGAAGATTTGATATTATTATAAAAACATACGCAATATTTATTAAACATATGTATTAATTGTATATATTTCATACGCCTATGTTGCTAACTTATGTAATATTTATTAAATTTCATTGTAGTTTCTCATTTTCATTAATTTTACAATTTTATTAATATTAAAACTTATTAATTACATTTCAATCAATAAATGTTATAATTAATAAATTGTTATCATAAACTGTTCTTCATTTAGTAAATATAGAAGAATTTGCAAAGCGAAGAAAAGACAATGAAAGTGACAATCTTTAAATATTTAGTGTATGTATTTATCTTATTAACAACATTTCTTTTTATAACTTTTATAATATTTTATTGAAATAGTTTATTATAATAACAAGTTTTTGACAATGATTTTAAGGGTTAGGGATGTGAGAATATATTAAATAAATGTATGATTTAGTAAAATATGCCAATTATTAAATTGAACACAGATTCGACACAAGATGACATTGAAAAACATATTTTTTTACACATTTTGTGCAAAATTACATTTGTGACCTATGATAATTCATTTATATGCAGTGAAAATATCAATAATAATTTATAAAAATTTCGATATATTTATAATCACCTTTAAACTATTATCAAAAAAATACTTGCTAAAATTGTAATAATTGGATTTACACAATTCTACGGCTTCGGTCCGTCCAGAGTTATGAAAATTTCAAAACAAAATATATTTTTTGCTTCATACAATTATGTCTCTTTTAGTGCAGTTTCTTTTGATGCTGTTGTAAAGTTCTCGATTAATCCGGTTTTCGGGCGTGCCGCAGGGAAGCATCTTGGGACCGGTGTTGTATAACCTATTTACGTACGACCTACCGACATCCTAGGAAACTACTATAGCTACCTACGCCGATGACGTCGCGATCCTTTCGTCCAACGGAGATCAGGTTATTGCTGTGCGTGGACTCCAGTGTCATCTCGACGCGTATCAGGGTTGGCTCAGGAAGTGGCGGATTAAAGTCAACGAAACCAAATCCAGCCATATCACCTTCACCCTCAAAAAAGGAACAACAAAATCATCCCGCAGACCAACGATGCCAAATACTTGGGCTTGTATTGGATCGCCGACTTACATTGAAGAAGCACATCGCAACGAAGAGAAAGCAACTTGGCATCAAGTTCGGGAAGTTGTACTGGCTGATTGGAAGAAGATCACAACTATCCCTCGAAAATAAACTACTGATTTACAAGACAGTGCTGAAACCAGTGTGGACGTACGGCATACAGCTTTGGGGAACAGCCAGCAATTTCAACATAGAGATCTTGCAACGTTTCCAGTCGAAGTGCTTGCGAACCCTGGTGCAGGCCCCCTGGTACGTGACTAACGACACGATACACAATGACCTCCACATGAACACTGTTAAAAGTGAAATCCCCAAGTTTAGTGTCCGTCACCAGAACAGACTAGAAAACCACCCCAACAGTCTCGCGTTATCCCTGCTAGATAATAGTGACACCCCCTATAGACTAAAGAGACACAACACCCTCGACCTCCCCTTCAGAAACAAAAAGTTCGTTTCATTGTCCGTTAGAATGAATATTTTTATTTAATTTTCATAAGGTCGTCAAATTGATTTTTTGTTGTGTTAATATTGTCATTGAATTGAATTTTTAGTTAAATTTATACTATTTATAGGAAGATTTCCGATGGGAAATTGTTCCGCTTCATGCTGTTTATTTTGTTGCCAGATGTAGGTAGGTTGTGAATGAATAATAAAAGTTAAAAAAAGTCCGGTTTCAAACAGTTCGAGATATTGGCAGAAACAATTACACGCACTATGTGACCATTTGTATTTTAAGTTAATATACATGTACATAATTAAATATCTCTGTATAATTTTGTTAAAATTACAAGAAAATCATAAATAAAACAAAATAGCATTGTTTTCCGTCAAGAGCATTTATGATTACATAAGTATACAAGTTTGTTACAATGTTTACAGATGGATAAAATGCATTCGCTTTGGTAATAGTCAAAGAACGATTATTATAATTGACTATAAAACCATTTATTTACATTTTCTATCAATTTTACAATTTAAAGATAATTATATGTAAAACCACTTTTCTGCTGATTATTAATATTAACACTTTGCTGTCCGTTAATGTGACGTATTATCTACGTAAACTGCTCCAGATTTTAAACAAAAAAAACGTAGTAATACGTCAAAAGACAGTAAAGTATTAACGAGTTTGAGAAATACTTTTCTTTTAAATTAACAATTATTACGTCATATCATATAGTTCTCCTTGGGTTTAGATTTATTATGTAGTCATTATTTTATATAAAATAGATTAATGATATTTTATAGATTGGATTGGAAAAAAATAGTCCAATCTTAATTTACTCATTGAGGGGCCTGAAATGCATAAATTTCTAGACAACTGAATCAGACAGCTACGTCAACTGAATCAACAGCGAAATGCATGGACTATCAAGATTCATCCTTTAACATACCAACCTAATCAAAGGATAATTCCTCTTTCCTGGATATTTTCTAGAAAATTATAATAATGCCACATTAGACATGTTCAAAAGTGGGACAATGCGTGTCCCATTGTCCCATCAAAGAGTTAAATCAATTTCACAATATTGTATTAATTTTTATTTAATTATTAATCAAATATATAGAATTATATTTTTATAAAATATAACTCCATATTTTTTGTGCGGTTTCAATCCGTGCGGATTCACTAAAGCACGGTTTGTAAATTTGAAAACAAACTAAATTTTAATCGAGTAAAATAAAAATAATTGGGCGGAAAGACCTCAGTCGATAGCCCTTTGGCCAGCCTATTAATATTTTTTTAAATTTATGTTAGAATTTATTTATTTTGAGAGTTGTATTATTATTTAGTTTTTTTATTATTATTATCATTTATTTATTTATAGAACTTTTTTTGTATTGATGTCTGGCCAATAAATTATTATTATTAAAAATAATTTTATGTTAATATATTATCGTTTTTTTTTCATCTATTTTTGTATTGTTTATTTTATATGCTTTTAAAGTTCTCGATTAGTTCGGTCTCAAATAGTGCGATATATTGATGGAACCGATTACCCTATGTGAGGTATTCCTGTGGTTGTTTTTTATGGGTTTATATCGAAATTCCGACAATCAAATTCTCGACAGTATCAAAATACCTACAAACATAATTCCGACAATATCTATTATTATTTGATATCCATAACAGAACTTAACAATAAGAAATAATTTAAAAACAATTTGATTATTATTGTATTTGTTTTCATTGATTTATCATAATAAACCTTAAAATTAAGAAATATTCTAAATTGAAATGCAAGGGATTTGACCCGAGCGAATAATAAAGAAAAGCACCCAGGCCAAATTCTTACTTAATCATCATTATAAGCAAAGCCTTACTCCTAATCAAAACTCCCACTACGTAATAATAATAATTTACTTTGTAAGTATTGCATTTTGATACTGTCATGATTCTGATACTGTAGAGATTTTGATACTGTCGGAATTTCAATTGCCACCGGTTTTTTTTTTCGTATTAAGTTAAATAATGTATATAAAGTTGCATACAGCTGCAAGTGCATCTAAATATTTATTGAACAATTTAAATTGTCAATTTGATCTTCAAGTCTCGTAACAAAACTAAAAGTAAAACATATTAGTCTAACGTAATTTAGTTGTTAATTAATATGTACGGTATAGCCGTCGATACAAAATTCAAATCATTTCGATCAATATATTTTTTTTTTCGAAATAAATTAATTTCACAATAGCCATGTCCATAGTCCTTTCCTTAATAAATATTTACGAGATTATTTGCATAAATCAAATACTTCCTGCCCGCACACCAATCTGATTAAAAAAATGAACATATTTTGATTTTTTTATTATATGAATACGCACATGCATATATTTGAAAATATTATTATTGTTGAGAGGAAGAAACATACATACTTATACTATAGCTTGTTTTATTATCCTCAAGGTTTCAAAGCGGAAGAACCGACAAGTGTATAAGATAGCATTCCTGCAATGTATGAGTAAGAGAACTGGATTTGCACTAAGACGTTCGATCTTTATAACAACAAAAATGGTTTAGGCTCACCTTGGATTAAATGCCGCAACATGTTCACATGGAGTGTTTATAAGACACAAATCCCATCGATTTCTAATATTCAAAATAGTACGATGACAAACTGTATATATGCTTGTTTATTACTGTATAGATATACAATAAATGATACTATGATCTCTACTCTTTAGATTTAGCAAGGGTATCCTTTCCTACTTCTAGGTCAAAGTTATCATTATGTCTGTGACTCAAGTGACAGTATTAAATAAATTCAAATAAGTTGGTGCGTCTAATTTCATATATTTATAAAATAAATCAGGGGTTCCCAAACATATTCGGTTTGCGGCGCCCTTAATATTTAAGAATTTTTCCGCGGCGCCCCATATCAAAACATTGGTCTATCTCAGGGTGAACTTTATGTTTATATGTCAGAATTTCCGTGGCACACTGGGGCGCACAGTTTGGGAACCCCTGATATAAATCATATTCAAATCTGGGCCAGACCAAAAGATGTAGAGGGCCGGATGTGGCCCGTTCGTCAGGGGATACTCATATGTGATTTAGAATTTGATTCATTAATAATCAAAATGCAACTTCTATTTTTTTATAATTATAGTTTGTTCAATAACTGAACTTTTATATAGATCCTGTTTATGATATATATTTAACACATATGTTAAACTAATGGAATGAACTGGGTAGTTACTTAGGTTCTGTTTTAAGATTATTTCAAAATTAGTTACATTTGAAACAAAAACTGAAAATTATCAAGAGAAATTAAATATAATATGGTTAGTATTTTTGTGATGCATTGTAAAATTAATGATCATAAGTCCAATAAATTCAATTTAGCTATCACTTATTACTTATGTTCAGTTTTAAGATGATTCACTTTACAACTTTTCAGAATTTGCTAAATTTAAATATCTTATTTTACAATTATTTTTTAATTAATTAGATATGAAAATACAGCAGCTTCTGTTTTTATGATGCATTGTAGTTGAATATAGCTCATTTTACAACTTTTCTAATTATGCAAATATGAAAATACTTGACTTGACGCTTCCTTTTTTTGTGAAGCAGCATATGTCTAAGAATTTCATTTTACGACCCTGTTTTGAAGGATCGTCGAGGTTGGGTCGTCGTAAAACAGGTCCACCCCTCCTATAAAATGATAAAATCTTATATAATTTTCTATTATGAATGAAATAAACAAATATAAACACATTCTTTTCATGGCAAGACCCTTTCCACTTAAAAATATGGACGAGTAAAATGTTACAAGGAGAACCACACCGTTTGTAAAATAAGTATTGTTCAATTTTGCAACATGATAAATTTCTCGATGATTTACGATGCAGAAAATAGACAAATGTTTCTTTTAATTTTTTTTTAACAAAATCCATACAGCCGGACTGTTTGAAACCGGACATAAACCACACCAAAAAGTCTTAAAGTAAAAATAAGAACGAAGAATCTATTAAGTATACAAAAATTTTGAACTATTTTTTTTTGTTTTGAAATATTCAAACTCGACTATAGCGAATCCGGATTCATCAAAGCCGGATTATACCATGTATTTCTATATATTCCTTATACAAAAAAATAGAGATTTTGTTCAGGTTTATGTTACTTCCACATTCCATGCAACATCTAAGAAAATTGAATTGTGTAATTGAAACTTCCTAATAGTTTTACTTCTATTTATGACACTTATATAATTTTGAAAAAGACATAATTTTATCAGGAAATAAAATAATTTCTTATATTAGAAATAAATAAACAGTATATTTATTTACTCACAAGTGTATATATTTTTTAAATAATATTAAAGTTTTCTTTTAGAACAAAGAAAATTATTAAAATTGAAATAATCAATTGTATTATATAATTAAAGTCTCTAAATCAGTGTTTCTTAACCTTTTCTGTGTCATACCCCACTTAAGTCTTTTCAATATTCTTATGACCTTTAAGTAACATACATAATTCGCCATACAGTTAAAATATAGACGAGTCCATTTTCGAATTGCCTTCCTTAACAATCAATTTTCCCCTTTGTGAGACGTGGGCCCCACGTTGGGAAATACTGCTCTAAATAGTTCAACAACTATTTTTTACACTCTTATATAATTAGAATAATTCTATAAGAAAATGATTGATAAAATTACGTTACTAATCAATGGATACAAAATATTTTATAATTTACACTCAGATTATCTCATTTCCAAACATATTTTATATAGAAATGCAACCTTATCACGGCTAATAAGAAATGAAAGTTTCAGCAAATAAATCATTCAGTTCATATATATAAATATTCAAACGTTGCAAGTGTACTTGTTAGATCTGATATTTGCAGATTTTGCGTGGTACTCTATTACGCAATAGAAACAATTTGTTGCGGAATATGAGATTTTTCTGAATTTTTATAGTACAAGGTCTTTTCTCTTTAAATCATGCATAATGTGTAATAATAATAACAAATTATATGTATCAAAAGTGCACACACAATCACAATCCACTACTTCAAACGAGAAATTCCTGATTCTTGTAATTAATCCATCATTCCAGTTGCATGTTGTTATTGTTTATTTTAACACTTTTTTTTTGTAAATTAACTGCGCTTTTTTACCGAAAAGGCAAGTACAGGTTTTCACGAATCATTTTATTATTATGCAACTGGTCTTTATTACAGTTCAGTCTGTTTACTTTTTATAATAAAAACAATTATTCTTCTTCTTAAAAAAAATTAAAAATATAAAAATATTGAAGAAAACTTAATTTTTCTTTAATGTTCATTATATATTATTAATCTTATCTTATTACAATATTAACAAAAATATAAAGCTTTGTTTTATAATAAAATAACAAAGGAAATATATAAATTAATCCTTTTAACATTTGAACTATAACAGGATAATCACAGATTCCATAGGATTTGCGTACAAAGAATATACCTCCCATAGTGCGGCTTTGATTAGGATTCATTATAATTGTAAACAATACAATATACAAAATTCTACTTTTTGTACCATCTTATTTATTTATGTATTTGAGTCTTGCTTAGTCCGTTTTCAAACAAGATATTGGCGAAACTGGAAGTTTTGATATTATTTAATGAAATAATTAAAAGTTGTATAGTATTTCAGAATTTTCAGAGGCAATAAAAATAATCAAAGAGATCCACAAAGATTGTGTATTTTGTTTTACCAATTTAAATGAAATTTGACAAAAAGCCTTGAAAGGAAATAATTTATTTCTGAAAAATTATATCCACTCAAAAGATGAATTAATAAAAAATAATTATTAGTCATTCTTATAGGAAATGTATACGTTTCTTAAATACATACTATAAACTTTGCATGCAATTGAAGATTCTAACATAATGGACTTTAATACGCAAAAATAGAATAAAACATAAAAAATAATTGTTAAAATTCGCAAAGGTTGCAAAACATTGAAGGCTAAAGTTGTTATTAGATGAAAAATATAAAAGTAATAATAATATAATAACAAAAATAGAAATAGAAGTAAATGTCAGAAATGCAAGTGCTTAGCAGAGATTGCGTTTAGAAAATTTTAATGATACTTTTTTTTAACAATCTTGACAATCATTCTCACTTTGTTATTAAATTATAGAAAGCAATTATATAGGATGATGCACAGTTGCTGGAAAGTGTAGACGAAGATGCATTGCGTTCGGAATTTCCGCAATCAATAGTCATTAATTAATTGATTGTATGTGTAGTCTTGCTCGTTTAATGTTTATATTTATAGTTTGGGGTTTTCTGAAATAAAATGCTTTCACGTGGATTTGTTATTTGCATAAATTAAATAATTTTCATATTTTGTTATAATTATATAGATACGTTTGATACGCATATTTGTTTATTTATATATGTTTATTAAATATTACAATAAATATTTTTAATTATTTTAACTCTATATTTTCAGATCAATAAACATGTTATTCATTAAAGTTTTCTTTTTTCAACCAAACAGGTTAACCATGAACAAATCGGAATAAATAATATAATTACCAAAATTGCGCAAATATGTACCAATTATTTCCATAAATAAAATCGTCAGATAAGTTTTCCATACTATAAACCAGTGATTTCCAAAGTGGGCACTGCAGCGATCCAGGGGGCGGTGATGGCCACAGGTGTATTTGGAGGGCAATGAATAACTGTTAAAAATTTTAAAAAATTCCAAGGGGCGCTAAGTAATATTTTTTCTTTAAACTAGTAAGTATATCCAAAGAAATTAAAAAAAAATACGATATTTTAATTCGAAAATAAGATACAACTTTCAGAAAAATGTAACCTAACCGATTTCAGCATCATATAAAGGTATATAAAAAAATCAAAATTTTAAAAACTAAATTAAAACCAAATTGCTGAAAAAAAAAATTTAAACTATTGAAGAGATCTAAATGATCTGACATAAAAAGAATGAGTCACAAATGAAAATAAAAGAATTATTTTTCTAATAAATGCCATTATTTCTATTTTCTCTCTCAATAAAAAAATTATCAAATGATAACAATTTATATAATAAAAAAAGTTATCGATGGAAATAATATAGTATAATTTTCACAAAACTTCTATAAAATATGAATGTAAGAACAATATTTCAATTAAAAATATTGAAAACATTAACAAACTTGAATAAATTATAATAGTTAAAAATAATTCATATAATCAAAATAATATAAAGAAAATTAACTGATTTTTTGCAGAGAAAATTAGAAAATTGTAAAAATTTCAATAAAGTAAACTTTGATTTTCCTATAATACAATTCTATGACGATTAAGAAGATCAACCAAATGGAAACATTATGTACTTTTATAGTACTTTATTATTATAAATTATAAATTAATTCTAAAAATTTGTTTCTTATTTTACATTCAATTTGATATTAATATGTTATATTCAACAATATGTATTTCTGCAAAACTAAGAATAACAATCGTATGGGGATTATTTTCTTGCAGTCCTTGGGATTTAATTGCAACGAGTCTTGTGTTTTCTGCCGTTATTTACTACTTTGCAGACCCATTTCCATATTTTAGATATATACTCAATGAAGTGCAAATTACAATAG